TGTGGCAGAAACAAGAAAATAAAATCCATAAGAATTTATTTCCCGAGATCCACGTGTCTCTGTGTCGTTTATTTTTAGTTACGTTTTCTTCGGCAGGTCTGATTGTGGCTGTTTTGGAATATAACCACCATCTGTGTGTTGCTTCATTGCACCTTAATAAACACTTGGCTGACAGATGCCATTCCTCTCTTTTCCAAGCATGTTTTCCTCTTAGCTCAACTTCAGCCAGGCGGATCAGATCAGCACTTATAATAACACAACAGGACGCTTTAGCTTGTCTATATCCCCAAACAAACTGTTTCTCAAGAGCAAAACCAAGTTATATTGATCCATCTGGCCTTCCTGTTGTTTCAGCTCAGCGCGCTCTACAGTGGAGGTAATATCAGTACAAGATTGAGTGATGTTCAGGGTGATTTAGATATCTCTCCGGGGCACCAGAAGAAGACACAACTCAGACATAGACATCAAGAGCCATGAGGGAAATAAAAAAAGAGGTCCCTGCTACTTACTCATACTAACAAAGCAGCAAACTTGTTTGTATCAACAAATTTAAACATTTAATTAAGGTGGTTATTAGTTATTAAAGGTATTCATTTAACTGATGTTGCTTTGTTAGTTGTTAATGTATCTTGACATTGTTCATTACAAAAAATGCTTTTTCCTAAGATGGAAATCTTGTCGAAGGGTTTTCTTTAAATATCCAAACAAGTTATATTAACCAAGGATAACATTAACAAACAAAAACAAAAATTGGTGCCAAAGTTTAGGATCCAGATATTCAATTTGCCCTCAGTGTTGTGGATTCAAAATAGTTTATTGTTATCATAAATCTGCTTTTTCTTACACAAATATAAACAAATGTTATTTTATTTTTTCCCCCCCGAGTTTAGCTTTTCCGAAAAAGTATTATTTTCTTCAGCTCTTTATTTGATTTTGATGTGTCCAGTGAAAATAAGAATTAAGTTCCCTTATCTTTATTTATAACAATGCTGCTTATTTATATGTTTTATTTTAACCTTTGTCATCCGGTATGGTATATGTTCCTCTACGTTTTTTTTAGTGGGCTGGGCCCTTTGAAGGAATTAGCTCCATAACTGAGACACCCATCATCCAACTGGGACACATAATGCTGCCAGTACCAGGGGATTCCTCTCTTCTACAGGGAAATGGAAAGCAGTATTGATGGAAGATGATGGACACAAAACTAGAAAAAACTTATTGGAAGTTGCAAAGGACTTGAGACTTGGACTGAAACCTGTATCCAGAGCTTAAAAATAGCAAGTTGGATCTGAAACTATTCATGTGTCATTTGTAATCTAGCCTCAAACCCCATTCTATTTCAGTACTTAGAAATTGTACAGACTCTTTTCATCGAGGAAAATTTAAATTGAGACAGTGTCATAGGAAACGTTAAGGCACTCCTATAAAAGACGTTCTTCTGGAGAAGATTATCTTACAAATACCTTGGGGGGACTAGATCTTTCAAAGTTAAGAACTGTTTCATCAAATACTTAAAAATGGGAAAGGTTTAGGGAGTAAAACAAAGGAAATCATTTGGTACATATGCATTCTTAAATGCATATGAGTTGTTGGTCTGTTGTTTTGAAATTCATTAAACCAGCCAATATGTAGTCAAAGCCATTTAGGACACATGAATATGTGAGGGAAGTACAGAACAGAGACGAATATAGAGCAGTCATGTAGGACCTTCATCCGTTAGCTGTACTGTGCTATCACTGCCAACTGTGCTTGGCACGCACATTTGAGAACAAATACCCACTGATGTTTCAGGCTGTCCCGAGTGCCAAGCTCCTGGGTGGGAGCAGACTGATGATAGCTGCAGGGCATGGCCTAAGGAAATCAGAGAAATCTGATTCAAGACATAGCGAACAGAGTCTGTGAAACTCAAATACAAAACAACAGATGTCTTCAAACTGCATTTACATTCCTGTGATGTATCATACTGAATAAGTGGAGGATACAAGATGTGTCAAGCTAAAAAAAATCAATACACCATGTGTAAAAACACTGTTATTTCAATAGATGACAGATGCATTATTATTTAGCTGGTCATCTCCTTTATGTCAGTCTTACCTAATAGCTGATTTGAGCCTGAAAACAAATCTAGTCAAAGATAAGCATAAATGGATATTCTTGAATGACTACATTCTTTTTAGGAGAAAACCAATGGCCATGACAGCTTGCATGCAAATTACATTATTGTCATTTGTCAACATTTCAAATACTTAATTATGCACAAACAAAACAAACAAGTAGTAAAAATCAATGTCCAAGAGCTGTTTGGACTCATATTGATTCAGGCCTATCATCACAGTGGGACAACTGCATTACTTTATTAGCCTATTACCCTAAACTCTGAATCAGTACATTGATATATAAATAGAGTGGTGGCAAATTCAAGCAGCCAGAAGAAACAACTAAGATCCCTGTTCTTTCATGTTATCATCTACAAAACATCAGAAATGCCTTCTTTAATAAAATGTACTCATAATGTAAAAAGCAGAACCTACTGTAACCTCAGTAGCCTACTGCAGAAGCTCATAACTTTTCAACCTCTGTCCCACAAAACAGTATCAGCATGCACTCATGACCCAGACAAGTGGTTTAGTATGCAAACATTTTTACAAAGTATTCTAACTATGGATATAATAATCATACTTACTGAATCCATCCATCCATCCATCCATCCATCCATCCATCCATCCATCCATCCATCCATCCATCCATCCATCCATCCATCCATCCATCCATCCATCCATCCATTTTTTTATTTTGTAAAGGATATCAATACCTACAACCTCCAGAGGGGATCTTCTATCCTACAATATTTTGCAATCTTGTTGTTTTACAGAATAGATTGTTTAAAATAAATACGTTTGAAAGCAATAGTAATTTCATACTTAGTGGTATTTGAAACGAGATTGCAAGTAATTTTGATTCAGATTACATTTTCCTGAAAATGAGGCTTGTTTTTAAGTTTTTGGCACATTTACTCAAGGTCAAATTCACTTTGGGCTTATTGGTTATTTTTATCTTATGCATTTCTTACAGTCAAGCATCAACCTTCTGGAACAAGAGGTGTTATACCATATAAAACTGCATTTCCATAAATGATCTCTGTGGTATGCCACTGGAAATACTCTTTTAAACCCTAAAACACACATCAACACTACAGATTGAGCCCATGTAAGAATAAGAATTGCTCAACAGAAATTGTATTTCTAAAAAAGACATTGTTTTACACATTTTTATGTAAATGTTGACAAAACAAACTTTACTTTCTACTTTTCTCACATTCTTTCTCTTGTGTTGATTAAATAAACAAATCTAATCTTATTCTAATTTCTCTTGCAGTCACCGTGACTGATTACATGTGTAATTCCTTTTGAATCTCCTGATTTGTTCTATCAGCTTGAAAAATGCAACAGAAGTGATTGGCCTGTGGAGGTGTTGATGTTGGAATTGCTTATTTGTTGTTATCAGAATTTCATTTGGATATGGCAACTCATGAAAGTATTTGTACTTCTAAGGCCTTTTACAGCATTACATATACAAACATGAGTATATTTTATTGGCATAGAATACTACATACACGAGGGGAAATTCTAACAGTGTACACGAGTGATATAAACCCCATAGTGAAAGATGGTGGTGTTGAGATCAAAAGTCAGTGATGTAACCGGAACGACTGCCCTCTGAAGGCACACCCCTCTGACGGGGTTATTAAAACAGACTATTTCCTGTTCAACTTCCTGGTTTCAGGTGCCGGTGGCCGGGAGATGCCTAGACTGAAAGCTTCTCAGCTGAAATCTACGCTAAGTAGCAACAAAATCCCTCCAGAGAGGTCTGTGCTTGCTTGTCTGAGTCAGACTACGTTTCCTACGATTCAGAAAGAGGTGATCGTAGTGACCGTCTTTTCTTAGAGCTAATCCAGCTCTGGTCGACCTAAATCTAACTGCCGAAGGAGCCACAGCAGTGCCCAGTTGCTGTTTGCCGAGGATCAGTTAGAAGTCGCTGACCTATGCCATACTGGTCCTGCCAGAATTTTTGTCTACCTCATCTAATTCATCCCTGAGGAAGCAGTGAGTGTTCTCACTGCATAAGGCATGGGGAGCGTTCTGGGGTTAGGTTCTCGCTCAAGTGACCGTCTGAGTCTTCATCCTGCAAATTTGCTGCTTCTCCAAGATGCAAATACCCTACTTCTTAACTGTTAAATTGTTGCCAAACTTTAAAAATGGTAAATGCTTTAGTTGAAGTGCAAACGAAGGTCTACACACATTCTCCCCAAGACTGTTTTGCTGTAGTTCTTCATAACAGTGATTGAGTCAAACAATGTGTGAACACAGAAGGTAAATCTGTGCAGCATATCCTGGAAGGATATGCTGCACAGATTTTCATTTCTGCAAACCTGGTCATTGACTGGGTTTTTAATATGCCTAAGTATGTATTGTATTAACATCTACACATAAACAGTTATGGGGGATTTAGTAACTGATTCGATTATCAAAGCCACATTTTTGGCTGAGTTACTTTTTTGAATATTTATCCAAATGAAATCAATCAATAAGTTTCAGTTTTACTTAAAGCTTATTTTAATGGGGCCAACTCCCATTGTTAGGTTTACTTGCAAACTAAAATAAAAATGTAGAAATTCTAATTCATTTCAATTCAGTTTAGTTTATTTACATAGTGCCAATTCACAATGCCTGGATGTGCTCGAGGCGACGGTTCAGTTCCTCACTTTTCTTTTCTTTTTGGTTGTTTTGTTTTCATTCTGTGTAAGCAGAATAAAACACACCACTAAACAAGCTTCGCCTATCATACTGTAATAATCTATTATACAGCTTGGATACTTCTAACTTTGAGTAGACGCTTTGTAGGAGCCTCTCACCTTATGTCACCTCTGCCAGAATTCAACTGTGATTGTATGTAATAATCTTAAATTGTGACCAATATCTCCTCCCTCTCTTTTCTCACAGGTGAGGAATGATCTGACGAATGAGCTGGAGAAGGCAGACATTCAGATAGCAGATACAGAAAGTTTCTCCAATGATCCCTGTGTCAATGTAAAAAAACTGAAGGTAAGTTTAGCTCTACCATTACAAACACTTTATCAACACTATTTACCTTATTAAAGAGATATTTTTTAAGTTTTAAACTGAAAAATATTTTTTACATATATTTGACACTTTACCACTAAAACATAATTTGATGAGCAGATTGACACCTCAGTGGTTCAGTGCCGATGCATCTATAAGCCTGATGCTTTTTCTCCCTAAATGTACTCCGGGTTGGAAGTTCCTGCACTGTTATGTGGACATGACATCAAATGCATCCATGTTAGATGGGTCCATCCTAGCAAAAAAATGAAGCGTGATAATCTAGATCAATTTTGTGTATACTCAAAAGAGACCGGCATCCAGCTCAACTCAGACACCAATGCAAACTACATGTAAGGTTAAAAAAAAAAAAAAAAAAAAAAAAAAAAAGAAACCTTGTTAAGTACAATGCGAGCTACGAGAAACGGGCAGAACAGTGCTACAGTTCTGTGTATTGGCCATAGGTGGCAGTATCATTATAAACTTTATAATACCTCTTTAAAGGGGTCATAGAATGATTATATAGGGTATTTGGTGCTGGTCCTTAAGGTCTCTGAATAGGGTGTGTAATGTTGATTGGGCTGAAAATGGCATATTTGCTGTTCCTTGTGCCCTAACGCAAACCTGGTTAGAAGCCCTAGAATGAAACGACAGGTTTTCTTTCTCATGAATATTTAGATGAGCTTTGTGCTGATTGGTTGGTTTACAAGTTGCTGAGCAAAGACTTTTCATACTTTTATTACTTTTCATAACTAAAAAAAATGTCCAATTCGAATTTCTAAATCGTCATGGATTTTGGTAAAGCAGTACCGAGCCGTGAGCTCTGGGCTGGTCCGGAAACTGCGGCAGAAGGGGGGAGAGAGCCAGCATCAAACTTTGCAGGGTTCTTCTGATAAACAAAAATAACCCATGCCTGTCAAGTCTTCAGATCCTTGAGAAGACTGTGAAAATGTTCTCCTTTCTCCGTGCAGCCTGGAACACTGCATTTATGCCTATGGTTCTGGCTCCTTTTCGATAGAGAAACTGCCTGCTTTGTAATTCTTGTAGAAGTGAACCTAACCGTAGGCTAAACAGCTAAACTGGTGTCTTACATCTACCTCTATTCATGTTCTTGGGCCAGTGAGCCAGTGGGCTGGTCTGTATGTCAATTACGGGGCGTGACAAAAGTACAGGCCAGAACTAAATAAGGCAACATCCCTGAATTGACGTCAATTCAGTGTTTCCTTTGAATTTGCACGTTTTATTGTGGAAGTTTAGAACTGTGAGATTTGCAGAGAACAGAGGTGTCAATGGGGTTTGAACTTCTCTATACGTCCATTTCACCCACTGAACTATCGTTATTCATCTTGATAGCATTAGCTATTTTATTAGATCAGAGTTGTTTCACATTCAGGATTTTGACATGATTAATCTGAAGTTTTATCTAAAAAGTAATTAGCTTTAAAGGGGTTAATTAGCTCTTATTATAACATGGATAACCTCTTACACTATATTCACTTTTGGGTGTAAAAGAATAAATGCTGCTGCAAATGTCATTGAAATAAACAGCTCTATTCAACAGTATTTTGGAATATTAGAAGAGTCAGAATGTCACTATTGAAGAAGAATAAGTTACATTGAGAATGTATCATTTTGAGCAAACTGGTCTTGTCTTAACATTAAATGCATGTAATGATGGCATTTGGTCTGATTCAGTGTTTAGTGATCATATAAAATGGAATCTGTTTCTTAAAGCATGACATTTTCAGCTCATATCACCAACTTAAGCTACGTCAAAAAAATGCAGATCACGATGTTACCACAGAATCTTTGGCAGAATGTTTGCAAGTAGTGGCCTTGACCCTCTGACATTTCAAAAGTGGGATTATCACTCAGCATACTACAGTGCATTAATTTCTCAATCCTAGCTGTGTAATGTATTATGTTTTTTTTTTTTTTTTTTTTTTTTCATTTGTTAGGATGGATAGGAGACCCTCAGCATATCCAGAAATAGAGCACTCTGTAATGGTTCAGCTGAAATATTTAAAATACAGACACAGAAAGCTGCTGAGGGGAATTGCAGGCATCCTCCATATTCCTCTTTTTTTCAAATTCTGTGCTTCGCATTTATTTCATCTTTTTAGTTTTCTTGCATTATAAAGAAACAAAAAAGAAAACACTAGTAAAACAAAAACAAAAAAGTAACCAGTAATTGTTAATTTGTTATTCAGAGCATAAAATATCAGTAATTGCTTTTTATATTCTCTGTTTTCTCTATTCTTGTGACTGATGACTAGTTTGGACACTTGCCTTTAAAGTGTAGATCTATATTTTTAAACAGAAGATTGTACATTTACTTATTATCTATACCTTAACTGTATATATTGGTATTAAAATATGGTGATATCCATTATAGTTCCAGCCAATGGATTTTTCTAATTTCATCTCTCCAGATCTCTCTCTGGGATTGCATGTTCTCCATCTGCATGTTTGAGTTTCCTCCAAGTGCCCTGGTTTCTCTACTCTTTATAAACTGACTTGGGAAAGGAATATGTGTGAATGTGGGTTTGCTCTGCTGGAAATCTTGCTAATCCAACCTTGTTCGTCTTTAATTTTTCCTTAAAGACCACTGGATTAAGCTCTTCTAGATGACTAGCTAGCATTCAAGTTCACACTAGCCACTACTTGTTTTGAAAAGATGTGCTTAGTTTATGCTTCTTTACAGTGTTATAATAGTATAATTCTTCCGATTTCCAATAGATGCCAGAAAACCTATAAAAATGTATAGAAGGAAGAAGTTGGGGGTTTTGGAAGAAGTGCCATTTGACCAGTGACTGACCTGTGAACCAACCAGTTTGACTGAGGACATACAGGACATACATACCTCCATTGTTAAGTGTAAAGATTAAGGCAGAGTAACAAAGCTATTAGGCAGTTACACCTTAGAGCTGACATGACTAAAACTACTAAAACACTGCTTCTTCTTGCTAGAGTTTAATAATCAGTGGTAACAAGAAGAATTATTTACAGAAGTAGAACACCTTCACAAGGAAGCCTCCGTTATTCTAGCTTTATGTACTTGCTGTTCTGTAAGGCACCTACTTTCTGTCTGCTCTTAAACCTTCATTCTAATGCAGTGGTGCATATCCTGTTTAATAGTAGAGCACCACGACCTTTTCTCTGGTGACACAGTTAACATGGAGGTTGAATCCAGGCTATTGTACAGATATTGCTCACCAACAAGATAACAATTTCTTATTTTCCCATGTATTCAAGCATAAGGAGAAGTGTACAAGTCTAGCCTTAAGGAGATTAAGTATATTATGAGAAATATCAATACCCATTTATTTCTTTCAAGTGTGTATAATATTTTAAGGGACAGTTGTACTTAATAGTGTGTTTATGATCAGGGTGCGCAATTAACAGAGTGTAGTTGTGCAGGGGGAATTTACATTATATTAGCTGTGGTGTAACACGCATCCATTTTCTGACGCCGCGACCCCAGCAGGGCTGAGCTGTCAATGGAAAAGAGGCGGGGTACACCTTGGACAGGTCGCTAGTCTATCACAGGGCAACACAGAGACAAACATGACAAACAAGGATTCGCTCACACACTCACACTTAAGGAGAATTTAAAGAAGCCAATTGACCTAACAGTCATGTATTTGGACTGTGGGAGGAAGCAGGAGTACCTGGAGAGAACTTACACATGCTATTTGCTACACAGAACATGCAATCTCCAGGCAGAAAGACACCAGGCCGGGAATTGAACCAGGAACTTTCTTGCTGCAGGGCAGCAGTGCTACCCACTGCACCACTAAATTGTAAGATCAACTTCACATTTCTGTGCTTTCCTACTGAGAGAAGGAAGGTATTTGCCAAATGACTTCATAAATTTTAGCCTTTTTCAGCTACCAGATGGGTGAATATCTGTAAGTACAGACAGCCTGTTGGAGCTTGAGATTGCTATTAGTTCAGTGCTAAGATTTTCAAGAAGCAGGTGCATGCTTTTTTCCCCCACTCTACTACAGTGCTTTTATGTTGAACTTTTAAAAGGTCTCAAAAACTGGTGCAACCTTAGCTTCACTAGTGATCACTATTACATGTATAGTGCAGTCATTTTAGGTTATTATTTATTTATTTATGGTTGTTTTTTGCCAAGGCATGTCAGGCATCATGCCATCAAAACAGGGGCTTCTTATCACAGATGCTGGTTCCAACCCAAGTGCTTTTAGACCTTCCCCTCTAAATAAAGATACTAGATAACTGATACCCTGCCAATATAAATGAATGGTTGTTTCATTACGTAAGAAATATAAGATAAATTACACTTTACTTTCTTTAGCCATCTTGCAATACACAAAAGGGCAAATGTCCATAAAAAATATTTGAATGTAACATGTATTACCAATTTAAACAGTTAATTTCCCTGAGGACAACTGAGATGGTGACATATTGCATTGCAGCACATCCACTATTTCAGATAGAATTTTGTTTTCTATCATTTTTACAAGTAACATAGAAAGGCATCACTACCTTGCTCTCATATCTGTATTTTTTGATTTCTTCATAAGGCCCAGCATGACCATAATATTGAGATATAGTAAATATTTGTTGGAGGTTCTTAGATCTACAGACACCTAGAATAAGCTTAGAACAAATGATTACACTCTTGCAAAATCAAAAAAGTTTAATCATTTTATAAAGTATAAAAAAAATGTAAGGCACCTATGCTAGCCCAAATAGTCCAAAGACAGAGCAACAGTCTCACTCTGGAGGCACTGGACAGCTTAAAGGACCTATTGACTCTGTTCTAGTTATATATGCCTGCAGGTTAAGAAGTATATTTAAGCTGAGATTTGTTTTAAAAGCAGCTACTCTAATAATTTGTAGCCATAGCTTTGTAATAACCGTTCCATATTCCCATCTCCCAGAGTAAATATTTGGTAGTTTTTGCTCATCATGTCAGTGTTATCATTTTAAAATGCAGCTCTTATTGTTTGTAGAAACAACACAGCTTTTAATGGACTTTTCCTCAAGCTCACAAAAGACCCATCAATATTACAATATTTATGCGTTTGTGTTTAATAAGCCTTAAAGGCCTGATTGTGCACAAGACCTGAAATATTACTCAACTCACAATCACAAATTAATCACATTCATAAAGATACAAATAACCATGTCAAGGATGAAGCAGTCAAGGCTGCCCTTAACTCTACCCTCTCTGGGAACAGTAATTGTTACAGTTATATAAATGCTTGAGCAATGAGGGTAATTTGGAGCCCTTCGGTGCCAGAGTCTATCTGTAATGCTCTAATCCAACACACTCACTCATGCCCTTGCCTACAACTATGCACGCATTTCTATTTGTTAGCAGACAGGCTTGGGTTTTCACTCAGCCTGTGGCTCTTGGCTATCACTGGAGTCATTTGGGTTAAGTGCCTTTCCTTCAGGGAAGAGCATCACTGTTGAGTTGCCACTGGCATATGTCTTTCCCACACATCTACATAGATACACAAAATAATGCAAAGCACAGCGTGGCCGTACCCAGGACTGTTACCTGATCTTTGTTAATTTAAAAACACACTTTATGTAAATTGTTATGCAACTTGCTCTGTGAAGACATTTTTTGGCTCCTATGAGAAACCACCAGAGATCTGGTGAAATTAAGATGACAGTGATTAGCTGCACCCTCTGATCCAACGATGTTCAACATATGGTGGACCACAGCCTAAGGGATAACCTAATGAACTGTATTTGTAATTGTTTCCTTTTATCCAGACTCACAGGAGTGGGTACGTCATCGGTTAACTGAATTTGTTGCTACTGCATCTTCTTTTATTTCTTTCAAAATCACATTCAAAAATTTTTTTAAACAAACTTGTTTTTTTTTTTATCTGTATTTGATGATGTCAGAAAGATTTGTTTTTACATTTATTTAAAAACATCATGCCTTTTTTTCCCCTTTAGCAGATTATAAGATTTCTAAATCTGTTTTAGATTTCTTAAACAATATTTCAGGACCTAAATTCATTTGAAAGACTTGCAAAATAATTGAGTTTTTCTTCTTTCAGTCACTTAATGGAAAGCTAAGCTTCGTTATCATCTGCACAGGAATGAAAACATTCCAGTATCTGACCTCTTTGAGTTTGGCACATCTGATGCAGTCTTGTATAGATTTGCATTCATCAGATCTGTGTCAGTATAATTTTATTCACTCTTGTGCAATTTTGGATTATATGCAGGCATTTCAGCTGCATTTGATCAAGACTGTGTGTGCATATTTATGTGCTATACATAAGCACATGCTCACTAAAAGGCAAAGCCAGACCTTTTTTCCTCCAACCTGGAACAAGCAGAATTTTCACCAGGGAATCTAAATCATTTACCAACTCATTCAAAGGGCCATGTTGTGCTCTGACTCCCTGAGCAAATTTCTGTTCTATAGCCCGGCTTAAGCAGTTCAATGCACTGAAGTGATCTTTATTATTAATGAAGTGTGCAAAATGATATGGCTTCATTCTCTGGACTAGTGGTTTCTCATTCTGATAAATATAACCTTAAATCCTTTGTTGCTATGAAAGAAAAAAAGGTCACTAGACTGAGTTAATTATTTTTACCAGATTTTAATGTAATATTGGCTTCATAGAAAAAAATACTGAAGCCAAAAATGAACCAGGACTTTGTTAATTCATTCTTTTTTCTGCCTTTGTACTTAACACATTAAATACCTTTAACTGGATTTAAAAATGATTCTGATTATTAAGATAAATGTTCATAACAAGTTTAAAACAGGACTCAATACATATGGCTACAGTCTTTTCTAAATTCAAGCCTACCTGGTTTTTCTATCCTTAAAATGGAGTGGCTGATTGATGTGCAGAGTTTATATTAATAAGATTATCTCATATTTGATATAACTATTTGATTGTTGATTGTTAATTATGGTTTGCAAAACCTTATTAAAAAGTTGTTGGTTTTTTTGTTTGATCAATGTAGTCCTTAACCCACCAAAGCATTTTAAAGTAACAGAAAATATAAATGAAAATTTGAAAACACAGGTATTAAAAATAGTAATTGATACCAGCTTGTGAAGATAAGAGAAATAAAAATCTATTCTATTAATCTTTTAAATCTATTGGTATGTTTTTCTTTCCTCAGGACAACGACGTGAGAATCATCATTGGGCAATTTGATGAGCATTTGGCCTCTAAAGTCTTCTGTTGTGTAAGTCAGCCATACATAAAGAACTAATAACAGGGGGGTAATATTGGGAAAGAGAGGGTCTAAGTACTAGTTACGAAAGAGAAGTGCTTCCAATCTCAAAGGCTACAAACAAACGTATTTATGGCATTGGATATATGTTTTATGTAGAGTGAAAAATTTGTAGTCTTTGACTTTCCTAGCAGTTACCTTTCAGGAAGGAGGGGACTTGTGGGTCAGATGCCGATTATTAAGGATGTTTTGGTAGAAGCTGTCAACGACTAATTGTTATGAAAAAAATAATATAGAGGAAAGTTTAATAAAAAAAAGTTTGAATATGTTTGATTTCTGTACCACACAAATCAGCTGTTTTCTTAGGTTACGATTACGTTGCTATTACCGAGCAAATCTAAGTGACTAATAACAGAAAAAAGCTTAATCTATTTTTTCAAATATTGAAGAAACTGCTCTTTGCAGAAACCCACATACCAGAAAATATTTACATTAGTATGCAAACCTCAACAACACAGAAAAATCTGATGCACGTTTAAGGAAACAAAGATGCTTTGGTTATTGACCACCTTATTAGTGAAATATCTAAACCGGGTCTGGTTTTCTGACTTAAACTGAATGAAGTTCCAGTCAACAAAATATGGAAATACTTTGATTGTTTTTTGTTTATTATTTTTCAAGGCGTACAACTTGAATATGTATGGCAGCAAATACCAATGGATAATCCCAGGCTGGTACCAACGACACTGGTGGGAGCAGGCGAACAGCACCAACTGCACTTCCAAGAAGCTCCTAACAGCAATGGAGGGATACATCAGTGTGGACTTTGAGCCGCTCAGTTCTCGGCCGGTAAAGGGCATCTCTGGCAGAGTGAGTCACACACTTATTAAAATGATAAGTTATTTAGGAGGATTGTGTTGGCCTGTAACGCTAACAGGTTACTATGTTAGAAATAGTCGAAGAAATATGTTAACAATTAAAATGGAAACTTTCTTGAACTAAAACATTGGTCCTATGATGACACCTGCAAGTGTTTTATCAAAATTTAGTTATGTTTAAAGCTTTTTTCTAAATAAATTTAGGTCTACATCTATCCTCTGAGACAATGTTTTAAGGGTTATGATTTTAGCATAGATTCACAGACCTCCTATTCCACAGCTGGCTTCTTGTTACTGTCGGGTACACCCAAGTGAGCCATGACATGTAATCTCTCTAGAAAGTCCTAGGTCTGTCCTGAAACTTCCCTTAGGGCAATTCTCATGGGGAGGATTGTTGATTTTATAAAATCTAAATTACTTCATTGACTGTGGGTTATTTTCATGTTTGACAAGAAAAAATAATTTTCGCTCCCTATCCCAAACGGTGAAGTTAAATACAGTATATACTGAGCACTGGTTATATACTGAGCACTGGTTAGTGTTACTGTAGCTGCTTTGCTGTATTCCAGATTTTATTCTCCTATGGCCTAAGTGAGGAATAATTAAGATATTAAAAGCCTCACCTTTTAACTTAACACTCTATTAACAGACAGAGTCTGTTAGACGGATGCAACATCACTGAAGCATCACTGAATATGCAGCCCAATCTGCCTTTTAACCTCCTGCTCCATCTGCCTTCTCTGGTAAACAAGATCCTGAGACACTAAACTCTTCCAACCAGAGCATTAGATCGTTCCCAACCAGAAGTTGGCAAGCCACCCTTTTCCAGTGCAGAGAGCGGAAAATATACGCTCAGCTCCAAGCCACTCTGATGCTTGCTAGAGCTTTTTTACGAGGCAGACATCAGAACATGGACCAAGCAATGAATAAAAATAACCACCAACACCCAGAAAATTGAGATTTTATACATAGACAGTATGACTATAAAAGTTAAGTTCAGTCATTTTGACTGTGTCTCTTTTCTCACACCTAAGATGAGACTTTCGGTTTCTAAAGTAAAGTCATCACTTTTTTTGTATTTTAGTGTGTAGTTACTGCAACTTGTTTTTTTATTATTTTGTCTTTTATCTACATTCACTCAATGCAGTCTAACATTTTTTTATGTAACCACTGTAATTGTTCCAACAGCTGAGGTGTTAAGAAAAGGAAGATGAATGTACATTTTCTCAGATTTATCTTGCCTTTCACTTGCCTTTCAGACCCCAAAGGAATATGAGAAGGAATATTACAGGGAGCTTCAACAGAAAGGTGTGGAGGCAAGCAAGTTTCACGGCTTTGCTTATGATGGGATCTGGGTAATCGCAAAGACCTTGACCCGAGTGATGGAAGTGCTCCGGACAAAACAAGGACAAAATATGTACCACAACTTCACAGTTGATGATCGGGAAGTAGGGAAAATGGTGCTTGATGTCATGAACGAAACAAACTTCTATGGAGTTACAGTAAGTCATTACAATTATTTTGAGCTACATTACCTAAAATTACTTCAAACTGTAAATAATCAGTTTCCTCTCCATTTAAAGCTATTGAACCACCTGCTGTTATTATATAAAAACACACATTTTATTTCGTCTGTTGGTATTTGCCTTTAAAAAAAACAAGGAGAATCCAGTAATTCATTTTTTTTTTTTGTGGAAATCATGTTTGTTTTTGTTTTTTTATGGAGGGGGGAAATGTTACAAAAAACAGTCAGAGACATGGACCACAGCTTTGAAAAACAGTAATCTTGTTTGCAGAGGGTATCCTTGCATCTGAAAAAGCGTAAGGTTATCTCATTCAGATCTGCACACTCTCTTTCCTGCAATTACGATTGATTCAAACTGCCATGGCAAAAGTTTTTAGTGGACTGTTTGGTTGTGTTTGGTTGTGTACTGTATGTGTGTTCTAGGATATTTCCTGATTTCTTCTAGCCACACAAGGCCACAATGCTTCTGGCCTTGATAGCCAGAAGGCATGCTGCCGGGTGGTAACATAAGTTTTTGAAATTACAATTTTATGAGATCACATCAAACTGTAACTGTAAATAGTAAAAGCAAAGAAAACAATTAACTACTTGGAAATTTTCATAGGCTAAAAAGAATAGAAAAGCACTTGGCTTTAGTAAAATAGATAGAGGGATGATGTGTTATGTTTTCCTCTTGATAAAATGTTGTTGTAGTCCAACCATGTTTAAGTCCAACCATTCATCATTTTTAAATTTTGGGCATTTCTGGAAGCTCCACCCTCTTCCCTTTTTTGTTTTTCATTTTTAGGCAAAAAATGAGATGCCTTTGTTGTCAAATTTACCATAGATTTAAGAAAAAAATTTATTTGTCTTCTAATCCACAATGAAAAAACAGCACATACTTAAAAACCTTGTTTATCCATCTTTCATTTTGTCGCTGTTAAGTTGTTCTTTAGCTCTGTATAGATTTTATAATAGCCAAAATTCTTTTTTGGATGTTAAAAGATGCTGAGACCACAGCTTCTGATAAAAAAAAAGCTTCATGATAACTAACATATTAAAATTTGTTTGACGTTACTTTTTCAAGTAAGTAAAAAGGTCATCACTAAAAAATTTTGAATGTCTGAGCATGTGATATAAAAAGGCACTTATTTGAATTTTCAAGTTAAAAATAAAATTAATTTCAGTTAAAAATTTCTTTCTTGATTCAAAACGGAAAATAAATGTGTTCTTTTCTTTTGTTTTTTTGTTTCAACGAGTTGTTGTAGATGTTGATAGCCATAGACAGAAAGGATCTTCAGTAGTGAACTGTTCTGTTGTTGTTTAAGAGTTTGTTAAAGAGGATGCTCATTATTGTCCAGAATTTACTTTTAAGAAATCCTCTCAGGTTCTAGATTGGTTCCTAGAACAGAGCCGAGTTTCTTTATTTGTTTGTTGAGCTTTTAAGTAATTTGATCTGATGCTGTTACCTTAGTATATGATGGTAAAAGATGTCACACTCTCGACAGCAGACTTTTAGAAGATATGCAGCATCTTGCTACAAAGGAGGAAGGACCTAAGCTTCTTTAGAAAGTACAGTCTGCTGGGTTCCTTCTTGTAGAAGGCTTCACAGTTGTGTCTTCAATAGAGTTTATTGTCTAGGTGAACACCAAGGTCTTTAACTCCTCCAACTCTTGCCCATAATGGTACCCTTTTCATCTGAAATGTACAATTACCTCCATTGGTTTGTTCAAACTTAGGTCCAGATGATTTTTTTTTTTTTGCCACCGAATACCATAAAAGCCATTTACCAGCTACCTGTACTCAGCTTCGTGTTAATCTCTGATGCACCCAGAAACTATAGAGCAAGAGTTCAAATTGAACACTGTTGAAGTTATTTTTATGAGAGTGAAATCCATTCAAATGGCAAAATTAGTGTTGGAGATGTGCTTAGATGTTCTTGGCATAGAAGACACTTATTAAGTCAATTTCTAGGGTTGTTTCTCATTTGTGTTCATTAATATTTCTGTGTACAGTAGCTTGACTTGTAACAGTTTTTTTCCAATTCATGCCTTTTGTTAGAATCATCTACTGTTAAATATGATAAGTTAATTAGGATAATTAGGATTATCTAAACAAAAAAAAAATGCACCTACTGTTTCATGCACGCAACACCTTTCTCTGATTTTTATTAATCCACAAGTTTTGTTACCTACAGACTTCTATTCAAGTTATTGTATAATCATCTTAAGTCTTTATATATGCCAAAGAAAAAGTACATGAATGGTCTGCTTAAGTCTAGATATTTTTAATTAGTGGACATTATAAATAATGCAAATGGTATACCTCCCTTTCAGATAATGATGATGTTTCAGATAACATCTGCTCTCAACTTTTTCTTAAGAAGAGCATTGATGACAAAAAGGGTGATTTATTCCCTAAAAGAGTGTCATGAATATTTTGATATTCTAAAATTATAAAATAATGTTTTGTAATCCTACATTTTTATCTTGTCTGCTTGGTCTGTCAATATGAGAGAGGGATATTTACACTGAAGACATTTTATTGTGGCTCTAATTTTTTCTAAGCAGGACCCTAAGATGGAAATAAAAATGTTTGTGTATATATATTTCAAGGCTTATTTCTTTTGAAAGCTTCTTTAAAAAAAACAGGCATTTATTGTGGCCAACATTAGACACAATTGTGCAACAATCATGCTGTCTAATCAACATCAAGATATGGTTTGGATTTTCTCACCAAATGAGGGCTAATTCTGAAATGGGCAAGTAGCTCCTGTTCCATGCTCATCTTGCTCCACCTGTCATGGGGTCAGTACAAACACTATTCTGGATAGAAAAGAGAACTCCAGGCTCCTGTGCTGAATCGGGACAGCCTTATTTTTCTGGACGACATTCAGCAGGAGAAAAGCACATGAATGATGTGAGTCAAAACAGGAATTACAGCCTCTGTTAAAAAAAAAAGGAAACTACTAACAACTACTAACAAGCTTTATATTATAAACACCAAAATATATAAACCTGTTTACATGTGCATGTGTCACACAGACTACATATGAAAAATTCATGTATTTCTGTTAAACTCCATGAAGTGGGCTTTGGCCATATGTTATATTCAGAGATGGCAAAAGTACTCACTTTCCGTACTTGAGTAAAAGTATATTTATATTTTGCAAAGGTTTGTGGGAAACCACTACTAAGGAACCAAAAAGGAATGTTGGGAGATCCCTATCCTAAAAGTACTAGTGATAGGAGGCATCCAGCTTCCTCTTCCACCCTCTCTCCTTACTGCCACCACTATCTGGACAGCACTTATCATGGCGACAGCTGACGCACTCCCGCTTTGGTTGAACTGTTCTCTCAAATTTGCCCAGTTTGGATGGACCCGAGAAGTGTTCATATAAAATCAACGGATTTGTGAAAAAGTTTTTTGTGTATATGAAAAGAAACCTTAGTTTATTGGGTTCATATAAACTACTTGAATTATTGAGATACATCAGGACTACCTGTCAGAAGGCTCAGAATGTAGGACCTAGAATTCAGGCAAGACAGACAGTGATATGTTTAAAAAGCATTTATTCAGCATAGCATGGGGCTGCTCGTCTGCAGCGACGGGCTCACTGGAAACCGTGCGGGAGTAGAGGCACAGGTCAGTCACTTCAAAACTGGAAAAGTTCAGTCTGAGCCCAGAAGAAAGAGTGTAATCCAGATGAGCGGAACTCTATTGTTCATTACTAAGCCGGGGCCAGAGAGATCCAGGAGGGAAGAGGAGCAGCAGCCAGTGCATGCAGAGGGCAGAAACGGGTCAGAAACAGGCAGAACATTATACAAACAGGAACTCTATAATTAACTCTAGAAATAGTCTCGCTAAAAACTTAAATAATCTGGCACCAATGGCTTGGAACTGGAGATATAACTAGCAGCAGGAACAGGTGGGTCTAATAAGAGATAAAGAGTGCAGGGCGGAGCAAAGCAGATAAGAGGAAAAGGAGTAAAACCCAGCCTATGGTGCCAAGCTTATGACACTGCTTTTAGTTATATAGTGTTATACACAGAGTGCGAAATACGGGGGGGTCTGGGGGGGCTCGACCCCCCCGATTAACCCATGAGACCCCCTGAAAGCGTCAAAAGCAAAATTTAAGGGGGGTCTTAAATTGTGTCAAAAAATTTTAAATAAAATGTTCTGGCTCCTTAGGAAGCCATTGCTTATATTTGCGTATTGTTTCTAAGTTATATACTATAAGCTTTCTTATGTATAATCTTTGATATAGTCTTATTTTGAAAGCACCGGAAGTTGAGCAGTTGGTGTCTTCTTGTTTAACGAGTAAACACTGCATAGCTAAATCTGTTCTCTCTGTGCTGCGTTATTGGCCAGTACAGCATGTAATTTGATGTGTATTTCGTTTATGTACATATAGTACTAAGATTCATGTTGTGTTTGGAGGTTTATTTCAAGAAAGGTCACCGAGAAGAGAAGTTTAAAAAGACGCTAGCATACGCGCTAACTAGCCGTTAGCATACGGGCTAACTAGCCGTTAGTGATACCGCAAGCTAGTGGCTAATGTTAACATGTTGTTTGTGTCATTATGTGTTTCTGTACATATTCAGGGAATATGTTGAGTTTATTATTTAGGAGAATTGTGCCTGTTTATTTGGAATTGTTTCTGTTTACACAAAGACTTATGCACAATATTTTATTGTTGCAGTTTTACCATTCATTCATCCATCCATACCAGCCAATAAATCCAAAGAAAAGGCTTACAGTGTGGTTATTGGAAATGATGGTTATCTACCTGCTAAGCTAAGAGTGAGGGCAGGACAAAAATATTTTTTTTGTCGCTAATGGTCACTAAAATGTTTTTAAGCTCAACATGTCCAGTATTAAAATTCAAAACCTTTATTCACAAATATGTTCTGTTTTTTGCGAAGTGGAGCCAGCCAATCCTGTTCGCGTATGCAAATTAGCCATGTGCTTTTCCGCAGTTAATAACACTGGCAACGC